TTTTCCAACATTAACAAGATACTATACATATAAATTAAAAAATTATATAATAAAATTTAAATCTTTATGTGAATTTATGTTAATAGGCTCGTTTTAAATTTACCCAATGATACTCCAATAATCAAAATTACAATACAAATTAATGTGCGATTATTATTTTCATCAATTATCTATACTTATTTTTAAAAGTAGAAATGTAATTTTGAAATACATCAATTTTCTTTCTGAATTTCTTTTAAATTTCGAATTTAATTTGTATTGAATATTTAATTGTAGCTTTAAGTTATTTTTCATTACGAACGATAACATATTATATGTCGCTTTTTTGAATGTGCATTTTTAATAATATGCTTTAAGTGATTTAATTAATATTTTAATTATTTAATCAGACTAATAATTTCATTAATGTAAGTAGCGAAATACATTTTGTAAAGATCTTTTAGTATTGAACAAATGAATTGTATTGTATAAGCATAAAAATTTTTCGAATAGAAAAAACTCATCCTCACCCACACCTACACACACATACACACACGCATGTATATAAATATATATTAGTTTATTCATAAACGCATATATATTTAAATATGAAATGATATAATGAGATTTTTAATATATCGATACCATATTTATTGAAATTATTTTTAAATTATTATCATGACTTTTATTTGTTAAAAGACTAAACATTTGTAAACCCATCCAATTTCAATATAATAACTTATCATAAGCACTAAATAATTCCGGTATTAGAGAAAAATTCAATATTTCGTTTCAATCACTATAATAAAAAAATATATAAATATAAAATTAAAAAATTAACGTATCTACATTATAAAACTTAAAAATTCCCTTTGTTAAATAATACTTATAATATTCATTGTTAAAAATATAAAGAAAATTTTTATTTTTTAAGTATTTTGTGTGAAATTTCAACAAATATTTTAAAATTTATTTTCAGTTTAATAATTATAAAATTATTATTGTATATTTTATACAATTAAAATTTTCTCTATAATTTTCGTTCAAATTAAAAAAACTATGTAACTATTCTTATAGTTATATTTTTAATGTATGTTTAATTAACTTAATAAACTTAATTAACTAATTAAAAATTTGTTTTATTAGCTCATTATCAATTCTATAATAAAATAATAACATAATATAATAACATTATATATACTTGAAATATAAATACCTATTATGAAAATGTTTATAGTAAATAGAATGAGAGATTATCATCACATTATATACACAATTATCTTTAAATGCATTTATTATATGAATTGATAATGTATGATTACATATTTACTATTACAAAATTCATTTTAAGGTTATTGCTAAAGATTTTTAATAAAAATAGTTTAACAAAAATTAATTCTACACTGTTATGAAAAGATGATTAATAACTATAAATTACACTTATGTAAAAAATTTAGGAATCACAATAAAATGATTATGAAAAATACTACGGAAAATAATTATGAGTAATTAAAAATCATTAAATTTTATAATAAAGATAAATATTTTAATAATAAAAAATATAAACATTTTAATATGTTTATATTAAATTTTTCAAATAAATAAGCAGATATAATTATTATTAAATACAAAAAGTATAATTGCATATTATGCACTTAATTTAAAAAATATAAGTGCATTAGTAAGGTTACACGAGTTGGTGCAAATTGAAACAGATTCATTTCTTTCAGTCTTTACGAAAACTCAGATTACGATTTATTAGCTTCTTCTTTGAATTTTTATTATTACTGTTTTTCTCAACTAAAATATAACTTTATAGATATATTTGAAATAGAATTATTTTAAAAACTACCAGTAATTTAAAACAAAAATGAAGCTATTGTAAATCAATCTATTGGTTGTAAATTCCTTGTATTTAATAATGATTATTATACGATATATAATAATTTTTAACACCAAACAAAAGTTCTATATAATTAGCCCATGATTTATAAATTGCTTATTGCTTATCAGTGAGCAATTATTATTAATTTAGGTACTGTTTAAGCACTGGTTTTTCACTAATATCTTGTCACTAACATTTTTCACTAATTTCTGTTTATTAAAAAAGATAGTCTTTTTAGTAAGTAGTACTTATGAATTAATTATTAATTACTTATTATTTGTAACTGATTATTTATTGATTATTATTTATTATTTACTGCGTTGCATACAGGAGCATTGAAATTTTGCATAAAATTTGTATTGTAATTTTTATAAAATTTAGACATAAATATTTAATACTACAATTTTCTAAATTTAATAAAATGTCAGCTATTTTGTTAATAATTTAGATATTGATGTGAAGTTTATATTTAATGCTACTTTATTTAATGAGATCTTATTCAAATAAAAATTAGGATTAATGGAAACTTTATCCATTTTAACTGACCCAAAAGAAAGAGTTTAAAAGAACATTACATGTGATTTTATAAATTATTTCACCTTAAAGTAACTAACGAATTAGTTCAGGAGCATTTCTGTGCTACAAATTTGTTCACATATGTTATGAATTAAGGCTTTAAATCAGTATTATGATCTCATTGATAAAATCGTCCCAAATCACTATTTTTTTAATCCAATTAAAACTTAATAAATTTCTCTAATAAAATGTTTAGGTGTTCATCTTAAATATTGAGTTTTTATTTTAACTTTTTATATGAATATATCAATTTCAGTTAACCTAATTAAATGAACATTTGGTAATAATATATTTTTCGTATTGAACTTAATCTTTTTATTTTTTTATTTATTTATTTTTTTATTTATTTATTTTTTTATTTATTTATTTTTTTATTATTTTATTTTTTTATGTAATAATCAATCTTTATGATAATTCATATGTCCTCTAGTTTATATAATAATTGCTAAACTATTATAATACATTTATCATTTTTTACTTAATATTATACAATAATCGGCATTTTTAACAATACGATTATATAAAATTATTTGATGAACTTCTAAGAATCTTAATCGTATAATTTATTAGTAATTGTGAATTTTTTTAATATATTATACGCAGTTATTTGTTTTAAAGTTGCATGTTTTTTAAAAATTTATTGATTTATTCAAAAACAAATAAATATTTCTTTAAGTTAAATATAGAAAATTGCCATATACAATAATCAATGAAAGAGTACATAATTATAATAAGTAATGAAAAGCGCATCATTTAGTAACGTTAGAAAAGAACAGATATAATAGAAAAAAACAAAAAAGTAGTGAGACAATTAGAAACTGAACTTCGGCATATATATTTTAAATCTTCAAATGCCTTTTTTTTATATAAGTCCAATTTACATTTTATAAATACATTTTTGTTCTGCTGACGCGATGGTAATAAATTTCATTGGTTATTACAAAATTTCTTTTTACTTCTCACTAAAAAAATAACAGTACAAAAAACACATTGCTAAAACTTGAAGTGTGATTTTGGTATTGGTGTTCCTTCTGTGATTATTTGTTTTTCTTTCTTCATCATTATATTTTTGTACATTAATCAGCTATCTACATTGTGGGAATAAAATCATAATACTTAAAATTATATACATCTTTATTAAATTTTATTGTGTAGAAAGAATTATTTTTCGATTGTCATACTTTCTAAAAAAATGATTTTATATTAATAATTAAACATTAATATTTTAACCATATTTTTATAGTTAAAGTTTATGTATTTATGATAACTAACTCTGCAAACAATGGATGTGTATTCGTTAAAATCAAATTTAAATATTTATTATCATAAAATGAAAATAATTCCATTTATTAATAAAAACATCATATTTGATTTTTGTTATAATATATCGTAATATAATTTATGTACTACAGTGCTTGATACTATAGACATCTATAGTCTATGAACTTGACTTATAAATTAAGTATTTAAGCGAAGAAAATTGAACTAATTTTATTAATTGATTGCAATTCATTTGTATTATATTATTATTTAGAAAAGTTGTATTGTTGGGACTTTTTAATCGTGATATTTAAATAATATAAGAAAAATGAATATATAACTTATTAAAATTTTTTATACGAAGTTTTACATTTAAAACTATCAGTTTAAATATTTTCAATTTTATAATAAAACCGGGTGAAAACATATTTAATTATTTATATTGAGTTGCACTATTTATAATATTTTTGCTGTGTTGTTTATTAATAAAATTAAATTTATTATAATAAAATAATTTCCTTAATTTCTATTTAATTTAATATCAGTTTAGATATTAAAACGAAGAATTAACATAAAGCTTAGAAAAGATAAATTTCTTTTATATCTAAGCATTTATTTGTGGGTTTACATTAACTATAGAAAAACTACTTTGTGTATTGATAATTTTTTATTTCTTATTCATGTTTTCATAGAAAAATATATGAAAAAAAATTAAATAAAATTCATTTATTGTATATCTAATAATTTCATATGATTAGTAATTAAAAATTACGTGAGAGTAATATGTTCTTCTAGCATTGTATAAAAGTATATTTTATACAACTATATATTATATGTTTAATTGTATGTTTAATGTCATAATTATGGAATTTTAAAAATCTAAGTAATATAAAACTAAATTGAATGTATATTTTATTGTATTCTGATCGTATATAACAAAAATGTTGATTTAAGACTTATTAGGCTTACTATAAAGCTCATTTCTTTATGTACATATATAGAAAATCATAATATAATACATTATAGTATTGTATATTATATTGTTCTGATATAAATTTTACATATTGATACTAATAACTTTTTTATTTTCTTTTACAGATTAAAAAATATAAGATCTTTACAAGGATTTAAAATTAATACATATAAAAAAATAATATAAGAAAATCATATCAATTCGCTCCAACGAATTTCATAGTAATGTAATAAAAAATCAAAAGAAATTAAAAACTAAAAATTTATTTGATTTTATACATATAAATAAGTATAAATAAATATAAATAAATAAGTAAATAAATAAATATATAAATAAATAAATATATATATATATGCACCTGCGTATATGTGCATACACATATACTGATGCAAATGGATCTTACCGAAGCATTTGCGCCGAACCAGGCAGGAGGTACTAGTACTAATGAAAAAACGACGGATTACTTCGACTTCGTTGTATCTCCTCCTCCACACTGCACCAATACAGATGGTACAGTTGATGACGATAGTTTTCTGCAACGAACAGACAGAGCAACAATAAATTATCTTAGCGACACGCGGATTCACGATGGTTTTATTAAAGAAACTAATAATAATACCCTTACAGCTCTTCCACCAGTATCAACGATTACTGGATCACTGGGCCATATCAATCATCACAATCATCATCGTAGTACCAGAAATCACGAATGTCAACTAACGAATAATGATCCTATAACTGTAGATCATACAGCCCAGGACTGTGATTATTGGGTTTCGGATGATAGTAAGGAACAAACTTGTAATATACTTCTTGAAGATCTTAATAAATATTGTTGGTCTTCGCCAACATCATCTTCTAACGATCAAAATCCTGGTCTTCTTATACAACGCAGGGACATACCATTAAGTGACTCACTTCAAATACATCAACAACATTGCATAAATGACGATCGTCAGAACACGGATGGCGCCATATACACGCTAACCGTACTTAAGAGTGAACCTAATTCGATGGACGGATTAGAATGTTGTAAAAGTCCAACTGGCGGTGTGGGGAGCGATGGGTGGTCACTGCGACCAAATCATTTGGATTTAGACGCAATCTTAAATATGGAAAGCAGTGTCAATATTAGTGCAAGTGGAGAAGCTACAGGTACCGATAATGTTGTCGTTAGCACTGATCGTGACAATGATCGATCGATATGTGTTATAGCAAACGGTGCTGCAGTGAATAAATTCACTGGTGTAATGACATCACAATATGCGACGGAAGATCAAACGGTTTTCGGTATGACACTAAAAACAGAGCCGGGTGACAATAATAATGATTGGAAACTCTCTGATCGAAATAGTGTGCAAAATGCGGTAACAGTTACAGAATCTGCCGCTGAAAGTTTATTGAGAAATGCTCTTCAAGGCAAATTATATTCTGGTGCAGTAACATCAACATCCTTAACAAGTGCATCGACTGTAAGGATGCTGGGAGAATCTCGAGTAGGAGTACAAGAAAATCAAGATGAAGAAATGCATGGTTGCACAGATGACCTATTACTTTCTCAATTAGATGTCGATACAGCTTATAGAACTAGTAATTACGAAAAGCTTAAAAATATAGCCAATGAGGTTGTAGAATCGTATTGTAATTTGGAACCAGTGTGCAATGTATCAGCAACGACAGTCATGTACACACTTGATCCAACTAGTGGCAGTCTCGGAACAATAACACTTCCTGCAGATTTGTCACAGGTAGGCACAGTGACCGTTGTGACGACCGCTTCTCCCCAACAGGATGCTGTACATCAAGGTTGGTGTATCTTTTCTAACACGGTATTTTTCTTCTCTCTTTCTCTTGTAAATTAAAGGATAAAAAAATTCGTCAGAACTAACAATTTGATAAGGTAATGACCATTAAATTCTATAAAAGTAAACCAATTCTATTTTTACATAAGACTGATAATTATTCAGAAAATTTTAAAACATTACCATTACAATCATTAAATAAAAATAAATAGATAAACTTTTATTTGATTAATCTATTTATATTCAAATTGTTATTCAAATTCTTATGTTCTTTTATAATTATTTAAATGTTGTTGTTATTAAAGAATTTCTGTTATAATTATATAAATTTTGTTATAATACTTGTAAAGTTCATAATATTCAAACAAATTATTTGACATGGAAATTCAATTAAAAATTGTCTTTTAATTACTTAAAATTTCTATTTATTATCTCTTGCAGAATTGTACATGAACACATACAGAATGTTAAATAAATATTGGTAGATATATTTTTATATAAGCCCTGGTATCTTCATTTGTAAAAAAATATGAATAATAATTATATACTTATTCGTTAATATTATCAATTCATATATATGAAATATTGCTTACTTTGAATATTCAATTATATTTTTATTTATACACATTTATTTACACCCTTTTCAATACTTATACATATAATAAAATATTTTATTTCATTATGAAATTTGTACAATTTTAATATGCTAGCAGTTTAATTAATAAAATATATTATTGTTATACGTATATATTTATATATGTATATTATTGTTCTTATCTTTGTGATGCACAGTCAACATTATTCTTCAGATTTATGAATACTATCGTATTCAAATTTTAGCATTGGACCTACCCGAGTATAACTAAACTTATCTTACAAATGCAATAAGCTGAATTATTCGAGTCAGTCAAAACATACAGTGTATCATGTAAACAGAGTATGAGTATTAATATATTCTACATGCATGTATAACTTTATAGCACTTATAATAAATTGAATGCAAAATCTTACAGTGATATTCAATAAAACCATATAGCAAACACTAATGGCGACTGTTTCATTAAAGAGAACAACTACACTATATGTTCTGATTAGAAATTTCAATTGTTTTATTCTAGTCTATATAATTCAAATTCATCAGTTTTAATCAATGTGTAATCAAATAATCAAAACATGTTACCAAATTTATTATATGTACATATAATAAATTTAATTAATTATTTTATATTTTAATAGTTAAAAATATTTATATATATATTATTTAATATCCTATAATAATAGTATTTGTGCTAAGTCAATTTTAGAAAAATGAAATATTTCCTTGATCATATTTCAATGTTATAATGGAATTTATTATTGTTCAAATAAAATTTAAGGACAAAAAGTTATATATTTTATTACAATTTTTATTAAATATATTAAGTATAACTTTTTAAATAAATATTTAAACGTGTATATATATAATATTTTTTGTTTTATTATTATATATTACTAATAATATTCATTCAATATTTAATAAAACTATTTAATGATTAATTAAGTAAATTAATAATAATAATATCATAATAATAATAATTAGCTGAATAAATTTCAACTACAATTCGTTAACTTAATTTTTTTTCAGTAAAATTATAATTTATCATCAATGGTTTTACAGATTCTAGACATGCAGATACGCAGTCACAATCAATTAATAATCAGCGTCAATCGACAACTAGTAATCAACTCCAAGGTAATACCAGTGGTAATCGAGCACCAGGGACTAAATCGCCAAAAAAATATGTACGCAAAGTGAATCGCACCTCGGCTATTGGAACATCAAGTGCTACCAATTCCAGTGCAATCATTACTAGCTCATCACAAATTACGTCAGGAAGCGGAGCTATAATTGGTTCACCAGCAAATGTTCAGCAACGTAAGGAACGATCTTTGCATTACTGTAGTATTTGCAGTAAAGGCTTCAAGGATAAATATAGCGTTAATGTCCACATAAGAACACATACCGGTGAAAAACCATTCGCTTGTTCGTTATGTGGAAAAAGTTTTCGGCAAAAGGCACATCTTGCCAAACACTACCAAACTCATGTTACCCAAAAGCCAAGCGTCGCAACAGCAGCTCAAGCAGTGGTGGCTACAGCCAATAGCAAGAGCAGTAACAATAATAATACTAGTGGTAGTAACAATAGTCGAGCAACAAACAGCACTAATAGTAATTCAACAAGCTCCAGGAGAGCACCAAGTCCTACTATAACAGATCTGCAGGTTCCTGGCGTCCAGCAACAACAGCAAATATGTGCAACTAATTCCCCTATTGTACCAGCTACTCGTAATCACTCCAGCTAGCTTTCATTTATCTCACTTCTTTTTCGTTTAGTTTTTATACGCTTTAGCATCAATATCTTAATTATATTTAATGATTCTTTGATTAAGAATCGGCTTATATAAAACTGAAAAAATTCAACTGTATTCAAAATGAATAAATTCAATCCTATAATATCAGTTGTCATGATTAATCTTTATAGATTTACTAAAGTATTAATTCATTTTACAAAATTATGTTATTAGCTTACTTAGTGATTTATTTAGACAGTTAAACTTAACTAAAATAAAATTTATTGCAATAACGTTTTGCAGCTTAAGTTAATAATCATAAAATAAATTAAAATTAATTAGTGACTTATTTTATTTTTTATAAATTTTAGAAAGAAATTTTTTATCTTGAAAAATAATTTTTCATTATGTTATTAAACTGTTAATAAGAAATTAAATTAGAAACCTAATGTAAATATTCTAAGTAAATATACATGTATACAAAAAAACTAGTAAAGTGATATTAAATATAATTTGTTCATTAATTATAAAATTTAAATCTAATAAAATATTTTAAATGGCTGACTGATATTTCTTTATTGGTAGCAAAATTTATTAATAGATGAAATATCAAACCTATAATAATTACAAATTAAATATACTTCAATTTATAAAACAAAAGTATGCATTTTTAAAAGTTTTTTTATACTAATTATATAATATTTGTATAATTTTAAAAATTTATTAAAGTATTTATTAAAAATAAAAATTCATTAAGGATACAGTTGAAGTAGATTAAAAATTATTAAAATTTAAAAAATTAATTAGAGTATAATAGACTTGAGCCTATGAAAAACTGCAAGATTTCAGTACAAAAGTAAAATAATTACGTATTTTTAATATGTTATTTTATACGTAGTTGATATTCTTGTAGTTTGAATAAAAATCCTTTATTGTCTATTAAATAAACTTACATAAAGCTCAAAATAGTTTAACATGCATTGGATGACATGAATTGACATAATGAAAGTTCTTTTTTGCTTTACTCCTTTCACATAGGCACGTAATACACAAATATTTTTTGTCATTATTATTCGTAATAGATTTCGTAATAGATTTTATATACACTGCTTTACGATTACGATGATTGTACAATTTTCATTCAGTTATAGAAAAGAGACAATTGTCATCCAATACTAACAAAACAATATTACAAAAGGATAACGAGACAACAAATAAAAAGTTATATTATAAGTATACAATATACGCTATAAATTATAGTGCATGAGATTTTATATCAATATTTTATTGTGAGATTAATTAAAATTAAAGTGTTACAAAAAATCGTCCAAATACTTATGTACAAATTTAAGAAAGGTGAAGGTATAATAATTAAGTGAATATAATGCAAATAGGCACAGTGTTCCTACGATTTATTAGTCGATTCTTAAAAATGGGCGATGAAAAATGCCGAGCATTGTATTTACAATTATATGTATGAACAAATTATGAAAAAAGTCGTAAAATAGGATAACGACTACTCCTTATGTAAAACATTTTTTTATATTTTTTTCATTTTATTATAAATATTTTGCATTTTCACCCATGTCGTTAAAATTTTAAGAAGCTTAATCGCTATCTTATCAATTCCTGCAAAATACTCTAATTTTACATAAAGCACGCTTTAGGTTTATTGGCTTTTAATATTTCTATTAATTTTAGCAGATTAGATTTTAAATATGTGACGACTTTTTTATATCTATATATACTTTGTATTTTAATTTACTATTCATCTTAAATTAACTAAACAATAGCATAATCTGTGATTTAGGTATGTATGCGACGATTGCGGAAGCAAGCATCTGAGATGATATTTTTTGATAAATCAAATCACAAATTTGTATGTATATTTAAAAACATAAATAGAAACTTTATAATAGGTAATATTTGTTAAAAATATTTTAAATATTTGTTACATCAAAATTTAAATAAAGGAATTAAAATTTGTTATAATTTTAATATACCAATAAATCTAATATGATTACTTGATTTTATTTCCAACAACATATAAGTAGTTGGGTATATATCTTTTTTATAAATTTGTAAACTACGGCTAGTAACGTAATTAGTTTTTTCGATCTATATTTTCATCTAAAACTCATGCTCAAATTCAATGATTTATATTTATATTAATTTTACAACAAAATTGTATTTTTTATAATTTTTAAATTTATATTAGTTTGTTAACAATAACCTAAATTACTAGATTGAGTGTTAATTTTTATATAATTTAAATTTATAAATACAGAATTTGTACTCATGTACAAGTCAACTAAAACTTTAATTAAATTATATTTTCAAATGTAACTATTAGAATTTTCAATTAAATTTAAAAAGTAATAAAAAATGTTATTTCCAAATTATAATGTATTAATAATTGATAAACGTAGTATATCAAAACAAATTTGAAGTTTCATTTTAAACAAGCAATTATTTGTATTAAACAAATGAAACATAAAATATTTGCAACCAATAAATCTAGAACGTATAAAAAATAAAAATATGTAAATTATATTTTGTTTCACCATATTCAATCGAACAAAGCTATCTAAAGTGTGTCTCCAAATCTAAAGTAAATTAACTACAAATTTCTTATTGTTTGAGATTTAATATTAAGTTTTATTAGCTTAATATTTTTTCTGTCAATGCACGTTTTACGCTACTTTTTATATATCATTTTAAAGTTTATTATCAGACTCATATAATTATAAAAAGTAATTGATATATTTTAAACTATAGTTATTATTTGTTTAGATAATTATTATATTATACTTTTAAGAGAATAATTAACTATTGAACTTTCAAACAATATTAGATAAAGAAATGCTTATTATAAGTAATGACGAAAACTAATTAATCATTTGAAATATATACAAAAATTGTGTGTGATCAATTGATGAAATGAAATGCGATATGACATATATATAAATATATTTTAGCAGCCAACTCTTCAATTAAAATTGATTGGGAAAAATTGTGTGCAAGTAGTTTAAATTATATAAAATGTAAATAATTCTCATAATATACTTTTAGACTTGAAATATTTGTAATAGTGCAGAAGTAATAATTATTATGAATCTTTTTAATATAGAGACTCGAATCATAATAAAAGATTCATTCGTTCAATGAGTTACCATGGTAACATAGATATAATAGCTTTTCCATTTTTCATTTGTTTATTATTTTTTGCTTTACAAAGTACATTGTTTTTACAGTTTACATTTGTTTGTACAGACGTTTGTCAAGACATTCTATGTCTTTGTCTATGTCTATGTAAGACATTAATTATTGTAATAAAGTACACTTTTTTATTGTGCTTAATTTATGATGAAAAAGATCAAATTATAGGCTGAAACAATGAATTAAAGTCAAATACATTTAACGAATTGAGCGTTCAATACTGTGGCATCTACAGTTTTGACATTTTTTATTTAACCTTCAAAAGAAAATAGAAATAAATAAAAGAATTTTTCATCTAATTATTGATCTCTTTTTATCAGAAATATACTTTAAATGGATAAATTAATAATTGATCTCAAATCTATTTATTTTATAGCATTTATGTATATTTATGCATCTAATATTGAGCATGAATTATTAAATATTTAAAGTAACTTTAAATAAATTATTGTTATATAATTAAAAAATTTTTACTCTATTTTATGCATTTTATATTTGTTTAAATTTTAATTATAATAGTAACTATAAACATAATATTTGAAACAAATATAAATATATTTCTGATTTTTATAATAGATTTTATGTAATTTTCTCTTCTATAATGAGATTTATTTTCATTAAAAAGTATTTAGTTTCTTAATTTATTATTTACATTTTATTTTGAATTAATTACAAACAAAAAATAATGACTAATTCTTCAGTTTTGAAGGCATTCACATGTAAGGTCTGCCTATTTAGTACAAAAAAATCATTATCGTACTTAAATAATACTGTAATCGTAAATAACCTTTGAAATACAACATAATTATATTATATTAATGATTGATATATTAGTTTAAATACAAGAAGAATGTCATTGAAACTACGAACAATAACAATACTCAACAATCATGATGATTTATGAGTATAAATGATGTAATATGTGAATAGTATGAAAATCTAATTTTGTTAAAGAAATCGTAATATATATGTATGTGTGTGTATATGTGTGTTTGTATGATGTATTTATGTACACGCACATATCTATGTATGCATGCGCATGGGCGTGGATGCAAACATATAGATATTTTGAAATTGATACGTATGCATGTATGCGTATATTGCAAATAAAGACTTAATGTATTCATTGGATGATCGGTTGAGTTCTTTTTAATTTAAGTTTAGTGAGTATTGTTTATCCCTAATCGCGCGTATATGTCTAATAGCAATTGTATTTTGTTATTACTTAGTTAAAACTTAATCTCAGTTAAAATATAGTTCTCAATAAGTCCATAGTATTTAATCAGTCTAAATTATTATATTTGATAGCAAGATTTACAATTTAAATAAATATCTATTATATATGAAAAAATTATGGATACATAAAAAAATTTATTAAAAAATTAATTTAAAATGTATTTGTGTTAATGCATTATATATATGCGGAATGATAAAAACAATCATTATTCATAACGGCTATAATATTATTTTATCTTAAATAAAAAACAAAATTTTTAATAAAATCGAATCGAATAAAAAACTTGTATTATATAAATAAATAATTTATTTTTAACTAAAATAAATTCAGTTCATTCTTTTTAATGGTATATATATGTATGTACTAATGAAAAGTAATTAAAATTTGTTCAAATCATCTCATTTATCTATTGAAAGTAAAGTAAACTTAATAATATTTATATGTTACAAAAGACTAAACTGTAATTTTAAGATCTTACTAATCCAAATACCATTATTAGTATTAATACTACATTCATTTTTAGTTTTAAAATTTCATATCTATCATAAAGCCACGAAAATTTGCTATACATAAATCTTTTTAAGTAC